ACCCCACTTTCCCTCATGACTGACCATTTTTCGGATGTCAGGGCCAGGGCCCATAACTTGTCTTTGCTAGTCAAGAAAAGTAAATTAATAATCTTTTGCTCTGCAGAGTGGCCCACCTTCCAGGTTGGATGGCCTCCGGAAGGCACCTTTCAACCGTCCATCATACAGGCTGTGAAGGAGGAGATTATGGCTCCAATCCCTGGGGCCATCCGGATCAGGTCCCCTATGTCATGGCTTGGCAGGATCTAGTGGAAGATCCCCCTAAGTGGTTAAAACCTTTCATTCACAAACCTCCTAGCTCTTCTAATTCACAGGTCCTTGTGATGAAGAGCCCCTGGAGAAAACCCAAAACTAGTCTTTCAGGAATCATCTTATCCAAACCTGATAGATCTAGAAACGGAGATGAGACCTCCGCCATATGTGGCCCCCTTGCAATTCCCTCCGAGGAGAGAAGCTCCCACGGGTGAACTGAGAAGATTAAGAGGGCCAATGGGAACCTACCATGAGGGGGGACTGACATTGGGAACCTGGGGGAGAACTAGGGGAGATAGGGGTGGGCAAGACCCTGGGGACCCAGAGTTACCTTCACCCACTGTTCAGGCGCTCCCTGTCCGAGTGGGACCAGCTAACCCGGGCGGAGAGTGAACCTATCAGTACTGGCCCTTTTCCACGAGTGACCTGTACAATTGGAAGACCCAAAACCCTCTTTTCTCAGAGAAGACCCAAGGCCTCATTGACCTATTAGATTCCATTTTGTTCACTCCTCAAGGAGTTTATTCCTCAAGGGAGTTCAGTTCTACAACACCCCAGAGCCTTTGCACCTGCCGGCTCTTCTCTTGGGAACACTCTTTGTCCAATCTTCAGATGACTGGTTCCTTCCCTACTCAAAGGTCACCTCCTCTTAGTCTGTCTTGCCCACTGTGCCTGTCTCCCCCTTCCCACCTCCCCCAGATTGCCATGCTACTCTTCACAGATGTCTAGCGTCCACTAGTTTGAATGACGACTCTCAACCGCCACTGGTTTGGGGGGTTTTCATGTAACTTTCTGCTCAGGAAGTTCTCCAAACTCAAACAAACAAAAACAAAACCCGGAGCATCAGATTCATATTTACCAGCTCGAAATTCAAGGTTTTTGTTACTGTTCAATTGCTAAGTTGTGTCCAGTTCTTTGCGACCTTATGGACTGCAGCACGCCAGACCTCCCTGTCCTTCACTATCTCCCAAAGCTTGCTCAAACTCTAGTCCATTAAGTCTTCTCTGATACCACAGTTAAAAGCATCAATTCTTTAGCAATCGGCCTTCATTATTGTCCAACTCTAACATCTGTACATGACTACTAGAAAATCCACAGCTTTGCCTATATGGACCTTTGCCAGCAAAGTAATGCCTCTGCTTTTTCATATGCTGTCTAGGTTTGTCATAGCTTTTCTCCCAAGGAGTAAGCGTCTTTTAATTTTATGGCTGCAGTCACCATCCACACTGACTTTGGAGCCCAAGAAAGTCAGATCTTTCACTGTTTCCACTTTTTTCCCCCAACTATTTGCCATGAAGTGATGGGACTGGATGCCATGATCTTAGCTTTTTGAATGTTGAGTTTTAAGCCAGCTTTTTCTCTCTCCTCTTTCACCTTTATTAAGAGACTCTTTAGTTCCTCTTGACATTCTGCCATTAGACTGGTATCATCTGCCTATCTGAGGTTGTTGATGTTTTTCCTGGCAACCTTGATTCCAGCTTGGGGTTCATTCAGCTCAGCATTTTGCATGATGTATTCTGCATAAGTTAAATAAGCAGGGTGAATTCAAGGTACTCTGCTGTCTAGGGTGAGTAGGTTCTTCCAATGTTATTATCCACCTGAATCTACGTCATTAGTCCACCCACCCCCACTATACAAGTGAAATTGGCCTTAAATATGCCTCCCAGGGACAGAGGAGCCTGGTGGGCTGCCGTCTATGGGGTTGCACATAGTCAGACACGACTGAAGTGACTTAGCAGCAGTGGCAGCATGCCTCCAGGACAATACAGAAAGAATAGTGAAGTCTAGGCAGGTATATGGTAATCCCTCTTCAGCCACAGGGATTTTGGTAAAGACAGCTGAGCTAACTATGGAAGTGGGGGTGGTGGTGATGCAGTAGTCTTGGAGTTGGGGTGGGGCAGGGGTGCTGATGGTTACGGTGGCAGCAATAGTCTTGGGGTTGGTGTAGGTGTTGATGCTGCTGGTGGCAGGGTGGTGGCTTGCCCTGCTCGGGGGTGGAATGGGATATTGATGATGGGGGTAGCAGTGGTGATGGTTGGAGTCTTGGTATGAGCTCTAATAGTGGTGATGGTGGTGCATGAAGTCAGCAAAGGAGGCAGTGGGACAGGGTTGGGAGGGTTAAAGGTGATGGGCTTCAGGTTTGGACCGCTTGCACCAACCCTCACGCTTTTGAGCCACCTGGTTCTCCCACTCCCACAGGTTACCACCTGGGCCACTATCTAGCCAAGATAACCCAGGGGTACCCCCCAATTCAAAGGCCTTTAGCTATCACTTCAATCCCTTGGTATACTTGAAATAACTCAGGATGTGTTGGTCAAGGAATACACATGACTTAGATGTGAAAAACCTATGAGTCTCTGGAGGTGCTGGCCAGCACAGAGCATTACAGATACAGGTGCCAACCCCCAGGGCTCCACGAACGCCATCTCCTCTCAAGCTCACTTCCATCAGGCAGCGTGTGGAGAAGTCAGCCAAGGCATGAAACTGCTTGCTGTGCACTATTCCATGTCAACTGACCAGCAAAGTATAAATAGCTCAGCTAGCACGGGGAACAGCTGACCGGAAAAAGCAGCAGAAGTGGTTGGTAATCTGGTGGTGGAATCTTAGGCCTGAGAATGTCACCCCAAGTGCCCTAAGAGCAGCAGATGCCCAGATATATAACGAGGCCATCTGCTGGCCAACAGAAGGAAGTGAACATGATAAAAAGTGGGGCTTGAGGGACCTATCTGAGCTGGCTAGATTCAGTCAGGAAATACTAAGCAGATCAAATCATATTAAGTTACCTATGGTCAATTAATCTTCAACAAAGAACACAAGAATACACAATGGAGAAAAGACAGTTTCTTCGGCAAGTAGTATTGGGAAAGCAGACAGACATACGTAAACCAATGAAGTTTGAACACACACTCACACCATACACGAAAATAAATGTCAACTACAAGACATGACACTATACAATTCCTAGAAAAGAATATAGGAAAAACATTCTCTAACATAAGTCATAGGAATATTTTCTTAGGTCAGTCGCCAAGGCTATAGAAATAAAAACAAAAATAAACAAATGTGAGTGACCTAATCAAACTTGCAAGCTTTTGCAAACTTTTGCACAGCAAAGAAAACCATAAACAAAACAGAAAGACAATCTGTAGAATGGGAGAAAATACTTGCAAACGATGCAACAGGCAAGGGATTAATTTCCAAAATAAACAAACAGCCCATACAAGAACAACAACAACAAAAACAACCCAATCAAAAAATGGTCAGAAGACTTAAATAGACATTTCTTCAAAGAGACATACAGATGATTAATAAGACACACGAAAAGATGCTTGACACTGCTAATTATCAAGGAAATGCAAATTAAAATTACAATGAGGTGTAACTTCACCAGGTCAGGATAACCGTCGTTTAAAAGTCTACAAATAACAAATGCTGGAATGGGTGTGGTGGGAATGCACACTGGGGCAGCCACCATGGAAAACAATATGGAATTTCCTCAAAAAACTAAAAATAGAACCACCACGTGATCTTTCAATCCCAGTCCTGGGCATACAACCAGAGGAAACTCTAATTTGAAAAAATACACACACATCAATGTTCTTAGCAGCACTATTTACAGTAACCAAGACTTGGAAACAATCTATATGTCTATCAGCAGATGAATGAGTAAAGAAGATATGATGTATGTATATACAATGGAATATTACTCCACCATAAAAAATAATGAAATAATGTCATTCAGAGCAACATGAGTGGAGACCTAGAGATCACCATACTAAGTGAATAAGTTAGAGAAAGACAAATGTGATATCACTTATATGTGCAACTTAAAAAATGACACAAATGAGTTTATTTACAAAACATAAACCGATTCACATAGAAAGCAAATTCATGGTTACCAAAGGGGAAGGTGGGTGGAATGATAAATTATGAGTTTTGGACTAACAGATGCAAACTACCATATATACAATGGATAAACATCAAGGATCTACTGTATAGCACAGGGAACTATAGTCAGTATCTTGCAATAACTTATAATGGAAAAGAATATGAAAAAGGGTATGTGTATATATAACTGAATCATTTTGCCATATATTAAAATTTAACACATTGTAAATCAAATTTCAATGATAAAATTTAAAAAAATTAAATCACTGCCAACCTCAACCACTTAATGAAGAGGGAAGAAGTGTAGAAAAGAATATGAGTGACCAAGTTTTAGACATTTTTTGACAGGAGTGTGCAGAGTCTGCAATCATTTATTCATTCTTTAATTGCTTTATTTGTTCTTTCCACCTACATTTTATTCTCACAGACATTTTCTTATTTCAATGTTCAATAAATTTAGCCTTTGGCTAGCTTTACTAGGAAATGAAAACAGGACCTAGTAAGAGGCAAGAGCATCTGAGTTTAAACTGTGAAGCAGATGTAGAGAATGTCCCCCCAGGGGTGCAGTTTGTGAAGTCAGGGGCCTAGGAAAAAGCTACTAGATAGGTTTCCTAAAGGTGAACAGCATCAGACGTTCCAGCTGAATGTTGAAAACACAAAGGGGTGAGCACGGATGTGAGCAGAGAGTCAAGGTAAATAGCAGGGGTCAGATAGGGCCTTGAGAGCAGCTGGCACTCTGGGCAGAGGCAAGGGGATGAAGGGTAGAGACACATCCTGAGACCGGAGTCTGAGCTCCGCCCACTCAGCCCTGCCAATCACCCCCTCAGCCCTTCCCTTTCCGGCCCCCCGCCCCCTCGCTGATGGGCAGTGCGGAGGAGGCAGGAATTATGGGCTCACGGACCCGAATCAGCCGGGGAAATGTTCAAAATTGTCACCCCAGACTAGTATCAGAATCCTCGAAGTCGGCTTTGGCAGGTCAGTTTTGAGGAAAACGACCTTAGGAGGGAATGGCTCTGAAGACTCGGGTGATTAAGAAGTTCTGCCCTGAAGAAACATGGAAACACCTAACAAGAAGACAGACGGAGGACGTCTCAGGACGCAGTCCTGGTGCTCATCACCCTTGGCTCTCGGGTCGTCACCTAGACCCGTGCCTGACTGTGGGGATTTCAGCCTCGGCAAGGACCACCGGGGCGCCTTCCGAACTCCCTGGCGGGGCCCGGTTCCTTACAGAGACGCAGCCTCCGTCTGAGAGGCCGTGGGCCGGCCGACGGCTGCAGTTCCGCGCCTCTAAGGGCTTCCACTTTTGCCGCCTCGGAGCTGGCACCCACCACAAACACACCGCAGCCTCCCTGTGGCTGAGGTCTCAGGGCTGCATGCAGTATCTTGCGGTTGTCACACCGCTGCCCAGCTCAGACCTGGGTCTTGTCCCTTGCCACCTCGCGGATATTCTGCCCTGGAGCCCACACTAGACTCAGTTACACGTCCTAGGAGACCCTGGGAGTGGAGCCAGAGGGCAGGGAGTGTCAGAGCCCAGAGCCCTGCTCGCGATGGAGCCACCAGGACTTTCTGGGAGGGGTAAAATTCAAGTTCCACCCCATCTCCCCTGTAACCCTCAACGTCTTCATCAGTAAAACGGGCTGGTTTCACATTGAGATCTCCAGTGTCGCACAACTCCAGAATCCCTGGTGAGATGCAAGAAAACTGCAGTCATCAGAGCTGTTTGCACTTTTTCAGTTGGCTTTTCACCACTGAGTGAAAGTGTTAAGTCACTCAGTCCTGTCTGACTCTTTGTGACCCCATGGACTATAGACTATGCAGGCAGATTCTTTACTGTCTGAACCTCTCCAAACAGAGGCAGGCTCTTCAGTGGAATTTTTAGCTATGCTGTAAAGCCTAAATCCTCTTCTTAAAAAAAAAGAGAGAGGGAGAGAGAAGAGCCAACCAGAGGTTTACTGCATAGTTGTGTAGAGACCTTCTGCCCCAGGGTCAAGAACATCATAGGGGATGTTCTAACCCAGGACACGTACGAGAGGAGCCAGGATTGGATGCCAGGACAGAGGGCCTCAGCTTTACTTCCTGACATTGCACTGGGGCCCTGGAGACTCAGGGAGGCGCCTCGGAGCCACGAAGACAATCTGTAGCAGCAAACAGTGCATGTCGGAGAAGACCCCAGGGAAGGGCTTCTGGATCATAGAAACTACTGTCTACTGGTTTCTTGATTGAGCTGGAAAAAAGAATATATGCACATGGTTAAAAATTTTAAGCTATTAATTGTGCCTAACGGCTAAATACAGCAGGAGACATGGGTTTGATTCCTGAGTCAGGAAGATCCCCTGGAGAAGGAAATGGCAATCCACTCCAGTATTCTTGCCTGGGAAATCCCATGGACAAAGGAACCTGGCATGCTGCAGTCCATGGAATCAAAAAGAGTTGGACACAACTTAGCAACTGAACAACAACAAAATGACTCAGCACTGCCACTTGACAACACTGCCTGATAGCTGATTAAGCCCCTGATTCACCCATGATCCCAGGAAAGCACCCCGGGGACCCTTTCTTCCTTCCATGGAACCAGCAGCCTTCTCTGTCTCAGTGGACCACACTGCTGCAGCAGTTCCTAGATTCCCGTGGAGTCTGGCTGTGATGGAGAATGCTGAATTCTCAGTACCCCTATTCTCATAAAAAGATGCTCCCCGTTGTTGTGAGAACTCCATTCTGAATCCCAATATAGGGGACAGAGAAATGGACCTTGCAGGGCTGCAGCTATGTGGGATGTGACTGGGGGCCTGTTGTCCACCCCTCCTCCCCACCTTGGTCTCCACGAGCACGGTCCTGTTGACTCCAGTGGCAGAGAATGGCACACCCCACCTTCCCATGCTGTCCACAGAGTCTTGGGTGCTGGGACCAGACTTGACTAATGACATGTGTTGGGACTTCTGCTGGGGCCTCCCGGGGAAGGAGGTTTTCTCTACTGATTAGGAGTGGATGAAAAGGAGCCCTCTCTGCTGCTGCCTGGAAAGGCTGTCATCTTCCCTCAACCACTGGGGAAGCATCTTTGGCAGGGAGAGGATGGCTGAGGGGGAAGATGAAAAATGCCTGGGTCTCCAAGCACATCTGGAGCCAGTGCACAAGCTCTGGGGCCACTCTTGGCTGTGTCTCTGTCAAGGCATAAGGTACAAACCCTTCTTCTTAAAGCCGCTTGTAGTTGGGCTTCTTTGCTTTCAGCCCAAATCATCCTGAGAAATGTTTTTTGTTTTTTTTTTTTTTAATCTGTACCTTCAGATCCATCCTCCTGGCCTTTGTTCCCATACCCAGGGCCAGGTTCAATCCCTTACAAAGGCTCAGGACACAAAGTGTTAGATCAGGGCAAGAAGTAAGAGTTAGCCAGTGCCCTTAGCCTCCAGTGTAATGTTCCCCCAAAGAAAAATCACTGTAACATAAAATCTGACCATGTCCCTGTTATCCTGAAAACTTGGTTGGCCTCTTGGTGGTTGTCAAGCCAAAAGACAAAGCCAAGACAAAGCTTAAAAGAAAGGAGGACTTATTACTTGCAGCAAGTAAGAACACCTAGGAAATTTCCTTAAGCAGTGTCTCCCCAAATGGCAAAATTGGGAAAGTATTAAGTTAAGAGGATATGCATATTCATGAGGGGAGCTTGAAGCAGAGGAAAATTCAGCATGGAATTGGGACCAAGGTCAACAGAGTCCAAGCTCTAGTTGAGGTCACAAAGGTCAACATTAATATTCCACTGTCCACCCAGGTGGGGGCCTTAGATCCTGCAGACCTCAATGACTGTATCAGATTGTGATGTAGAGCCCTTGAGGAGGAACTAGAACTCTGTTTTATCACAGAAGTATTGTTTCTTGATTGCTTTCCCTTAGTTCCTGCATTCCCTCACTTCCATTAAGATCATCAGTTACTGAGATCCGTTCAACAGCAAGCACTGTGGCCAGACTTAGATCCCAAAACAGCTTAGGCCAAAATTGAAACTGTTTACCTTAGCTGGGTAAAGAGTCTGCGTGCAATGCAGGAGATGAGATGCAGGAGGCACGGGTTTGATCCCTGGGTCTGGAAGATCCCCTGGAGTAGGGCACGGCAACTCACTCCAGTGCCTAGAGAATCCCATGGACAGAGGAGCCTGGTGGGTTATAGTCCATTGGGTCACAAAGAGTTGGACACAACTGAAGTGACTGAGTACACACACACATGTCTAGATCTGTTTCTCTTCAGACCCCCTACCCTATCTGCTTACATCCCTTTCCCACGTAATCTATAGCAACTCCCTGCTTTCCACAAGAAAAAGCCCAAACTCAAGCTCCTTATTTGAGAATACTGATCTGGTCCTGCAAGTGACCCTACAGCATGAGGATCTGCACCCCACGCAGGCTGAGAACGCAGAGCCCAGCAGAACGTGGTCACCTGCCCCAGGAGCTACGTTCTTGATCCGTTTAGTGCATATGTGGGCTATGGCACCCTGGGACACAGAGGAAAATCACAGGAGCCTTCAGGCGAGGGCAGCCTGGGCATGAGTCATGAAGAATGAAGGTTTCCCAGCCAGCCATAAGAATGCCTGAACCTGGGGATGTGCCGCATCATGCTGCCTTCGCATCACCCTGGAACTTCTACCAGGAATCATGGCTCTCCAGGCCCACATGCCCAGCACTTGCCCTTCCTAAGACACCCTGCCTACCTTGAAGTCTGCTCTGGTCCACTCAAGCCACAACCCTCATGCCCTCCTTTGTTCTGCAGAGGTCTGAGTGTTACTCTCCTGCTCTAGATGTTACGCATTGCTATTCAGAATACTATCCTTCAGATAACGACTTAAGGGACATGTGTCTGTTCACTTTTACCCCCCCGAGTTGTTAACACAGGGGTTGCTGGAGACTTCACATGCTGTGTGTGTTTGAAGAGAAAGAGGAGGAAGGGAGGGAGGGTAGGCCCCAAACCCGGTTCTAGTTGATGGTTTCCCAGCCCTTTTGAAACAGGAGGAAAGGAAGCAGGGCACAAGCGTTAAGGGAATGAATGACATAGCCCCTGAGGATATGGCATAAACTGCTTAGAAAAAACTAGCTCCAAGATGGTGAAAGATTCAACTTCCAGTAGACCTTGAGCCTTGTAATGCGCTGACTGTAATTGGCGTCTAAGGGACGCGCACACAAGTGCATGGCAGTTCCCGGGTCACCACAAAAGGCCAAAAGTGGGCAGTGCCGCAGTTTTTGAAAATCCCCACCCTTTCTCTGAAATAGTTGGCATAATCCTCCCCCTCATTAGCTTATGAAATTACCCAGCCCCTAAAAACCAAGCACCCCGTATTTCGGGGCCTCTTGGCTTCTGAAGTGGCCCATACTGTCTGTGGAACCTGTTTCTCCCTTGGCTGCTCTTAGTTTCCCAGATGACCCGATGTCCTGGGGCTGCTCTTGCCTTTTGAGCCAGACTGCATACTGTCTATGGAATATGTATCTCTCTGACCAAATGCACTTTTTACCTGTCACTCTGTCTCTCACTGAATTCTTTCTGCAACAAGACATAAAAGAACTTGAGTTTCACTAAGTCCTAGGACCAGGTATATGATCTCAATTAAAAGACAATGGGCTCAAGTCCCAAAACGGGTTGTGGGGTTTCACTATTAGGAATTTGGGGGAGGGGGGATCGGGATGGGGGAACACATGTAAATCCATGGCTGATTCATGTCAATGTATGGCAAAAACCACTACAATATTGTAAGGTAATTAGCCTCCAACTAATAAAAATAAATTAAAAAAAAAAAAGGAATTTGAGACATTTTTGACCAGGTACTAACATGCCAAGACCTTCACACATTGGTGAAACTGAGTTGCACTTTCTCTTTTTTGATGACAAGAGGCAGCAACTGCAGTCAAGCTCCTAGCTGCCAGAAGGAAGCCTGGGTGAGGAGGCAGCACAGCTTACATGGGCCCTGGGGGTCCCCATGGAACCCCCCTCCATGTTCTCCTGGTTCGGGGCTGCAGCAGGGCTAGGTGAGATAAACTGCTTCATATGCCGAGGGCAGAAAGGATGCCACTGAACGGGAGGGGCCCCAACTGGGTGGGGCTCTGGTAGGGAAAGATGCAGCCAAGGCATTTAACTGAAAGTCCTGATGGAAGAGCCTGTAACAAACTCCTGAATGCCCATCCTCACCCGTGACACTTCCCCAAAAACCTCCAGGAGCCTCTCTGCATGGATGAAGATGACCTGTGCCAGGCCAGCACCACGATCAAGAGGAAATGGCCAGAGATGGGGTCTATGGTCAGCACCAACCAGAAACTTGCCCTCTGGGTTTTGAAAGAGCTGTTCAGAGAAATAAGGTAATGCAAGCAGGCATGGTGATAACAATGTTAACAGAGATGGGGGGTTGTGCATGAGAAAATGCCACCTGCCATGTCACTAAACAGAGGATGTTGCAGCCATCAAGCCATCACACTGTAAGCTTAGAGGGAACTCAGGATAGAAA